AACAAAAGTGTAGAAATGAGCAGGGGGAAGGATTAGGGATGCTTATCGTAATGATACTGTTTTCGGCAAAATATATTAGTTAGAAAAGAAATAAGTGGAATCTATTCATGTTAAGTATTAATCTCCTTTTGATTGGGGAACTCGGTGGAACCACAGGAATGCTTTTAGCTTGGTTTAAAAAATATAATTTGAATTGGAGGACTTTTTTAGAGTGAGTTTATAATTCCCAAGCTAGTATAGCGTACAAAGTACAAACAAACGTAATTCCATCATATTATCATAAAATCCTAAATAAGCTTAAAAATTTACAGGATCAATTCCTCTGTAATGTCCTAGCCATGAAAAAAAATACCCCGATTGTGTTTCAATTGCTTAAAATTAACTTAATTCTGTTGATTAATGAAGAAATTAATAATAGAATATTTAAAAATCTAACAAAGGATTTGTTATGAAATTGTAATTATCAGAATGGTATTTAAAATAATAAAAATAATAAGACTAAAACGATAATCTAATCTAATAATACGTCCGGTCTAGTTTTTATTATCTTTTCAATATTAACATACCGTGGGAATAAAAATAAATAAAACCAAATTAAGGCATTTAGTGTTAAATTTAAATCATAGAATTTAATTTTGTTGTATTTCAAAAAATAAAATAATTGGTGGATTTTTCAAAAAAGGTATAGATTATTTTTGCAGGCACTATTTTTCAATCTTCCCTTGGCGGTTGACGTTTATTGGAAACAAACATACAAAGTACAGACAGGCTGAAACCAAATACATAGATAGTTAAGAGAAAAAAATATGTATGTTTATACAAAGAACGAAACGGTTAAATTTTTGACCAAAATTAATTTGATATTTTTAGGAAATACTTAACAAATACTATTTGATATATTTAGGAAATACTTAACAAATACTATTTGATATATTTAGGAAATACTTAACAAATACTATTTGATATATTTAGGAAATACTTAACAAATACTATTTGATATATTTAGGAAATATTTAACAAATACTATTTGATATATTTAGGAAATACTTAACAAATACTATTTGATATATTTAGGAAATACTTAACAAATACTATTTGATATATTTAGGAAACACTTAACAAATACTATTGCTACAGAAATTATAAAAAGTTTATTTTGTAAAACAAATTTAGAATTTTATCTAAAATAAAATAGATTTAAATTTTTGCAGCTTTAGAGATCAATCTAGGGCCCTCCCACAGTCAGATTATCCAGTGGGAAAAAGTTCGAAATTCTAGAATATGTATTTTCTTGCCGTTGATTTGAAACTTTTGTTTTTTACTTTTTGACACACTTCACTTGACAGAGGGAAAAGACAAATTACTACAACCTCCGTAGCTCTACTAGTTATTTTTACCCATACGTATGCACTGTGGACTAAGCCAGTGGGGTCGGTCATATAGGCCTAGGATTAGGCCGGGTACTGTAAAAAGTCTGAACGCGCCATGGGAGTTGTCATGGTTAGCCCTCCAACGGGACTATGCCAAGAAAATTGACCCCTGTCGTATGGTAGTCTGGTTAGGGCGACATACTGTACAGAATATGGAACCGGGCTAGCATAGGATCGGGTCAATACACACTGTTATCTGGCAGGCCGGTATGAACTGGGCAGGTCCTGTTCGAATTTAAATTTACTACAGCCCGGAGTGTATGAGAAAAGAAAAATTATTTAGTTGCATTGTTGAAATTCAAATTTTGTATTGCTTAAACTCTTCAAAAAAAGAGAAGAAAACAGTAAAGATTTCAATCTAAAATAAAATTTAATATGATTTGTATGTTGAACTATGTAAAATTTCTTCTGATTCACTTTAACCTGGCCGGCACCTCATTTTGTACAGGAAAATATGTGCAAATGTTGATATTTGTATTTTACTATATTTATTTTGTGAACTAACAAAGTACAAGTGTTTTTGCATATCCACAAACATGTTTATTTTCCTCCTGAAACATGATAAATGTAAAATCATATTTCTGATTATAGAAGTAAATTTTGTCAGAAAAGTAAAGGGGCACAATTTCAAGTGACCCTCCGTGCAAAGATGACATTGTCCCATTTAAAATGGTATCCTTAAAACCTTTATCTGATCAAAAATGTGGAATATAACATCGTTTTCTCCGTCTATACAATTGTATTCTAGTAATTTCTCCATTGCTTCTTATTAACAAGAAATGTACAAGTCACTTTTGCAGGGAAATCTCTAATGAAAATAAGCCGTTAAAAAACATGGATATCTAATTCATACTTAACAAGGCAAAGATTTATAGAGTACCATTGTAAATCGAGCATTGCCATATTTGCACGGAGAGTCATTTGAAATTATGCTTACAGTCCTTATAAGTAAACTGTTTATGCACTTCATACTAAAGAGTTACACCATCAGGTTAAAAAGATATAGGGATGAGAAAATTAGATTTTCAGGCGGGTAATCAGTTTCTGATCCTATTAGTTTTCAAACTTTTCCCCCCTGAACAGTGTACAGCAAGGTTTGTATGTATACTCACTGCAGTAATCCTAGCTTATACAAATCCTTTCTACTTTATCTAAATACAATCTATCTATCTATCATAAATACTAACTATATCTATCTATCTATCATAAATACAAACTATATCTATTTGGTTTACATATATGTATACACTATCTATCTATCTGTCTGTATTCTGTTCAGCGGATCAAGATCAAAATAAAGGAAACTATGCGATTTGGTAAACTTTTGGATATACAAGACAGACAAGACAGACAAGACAGAAGAGACAGACAAGACAGACAAGACAGACAAGACAGACAAGACAGACAAGACAGACAAGACAGACAAGACAGACAAGACAGACAAGACAGACAAGACAGACAAGACAGACAAGACAGATAAGAGTGACAAGACAGATAAGACAGAAAAGACAAACAAGACAGACAAGACTACCTGTTGTAGTTAGATAATAAACAATTGCTCTCAATCCAATCATTTTAGAAAGAGATAAATCCAAGCCACCTAAAATAAAATTACAATTTGGCAATAAATCTTAACAAAGCTTTTTAAAAAACACAAATTCAGCCTTTCTACACTTTGTTTAGAGAAAAAAAAGGAAAACAGAAAAGGCTTTAAATAAGAGAATGAATTTATATTTAAATCTAATAAACAAATTGATTTTTGCAATTATCAAATACAACAATCAAATGTTTAGTCAATCTAAAATTGATGTTATAAAATAAAAAAGATAAAATAGAACTTGTTATTCTTGACATGCTGTTAATTTATAATCCTTATATTATTGCAACCTGAGGTTAAAATATCAAGGATTTATGACTAGCTTAAGGGGTTGCGAATATATAGGTTTTAGAAGATCTGAGTTTTAAAGGCTAATGTTCTACAAAAACTAATTAATAAATGAATGTATTTATTATATTACCTACTGAAGCTATTAATGATGGTATAATAAGAGGGATGATTACACATTTAAGCATATTCAGAAAAATTTGCCCGATGTACCCGATATACATAACCTCTCTAAAAATAAAGCATCGTAAAAATCTTAATTTTTTTTTGTTTAAAAATATATTTTTTTGACCTTGACGTCCATTTTTCCTCTCTGCTTGCTTTCAAACAGGCTCCAAGTACAATACCTGAGAAAGGAAAATAAAATTGGATATTTTTAAATTTTTTCAACCATCTTAATTCCCCCATGTTTTCGTAACTGAAATCTTTATATTAAAATTCGTACTTTTTGGACCCCAGACATATATCTTTCCCACCAAACAGGCAGAATGGTGCCAGGAAAAAGAAACTTCTATGAACAGCATTTTTGGAATTCAAAAATGGTCCTCAGAACATTATCGGATATATAAATTGAAAGCTTTTTTATAAGATCTAATGCAATGTGAAAGTTTTAGAACGACTTTTCACTCAAAATAAACATTTTGAAAGTATCCCTTGCACGTTCCATATGAAATTTATAAAAAAAAATCGGTCAGTCGTCTTAAGAACCTTATCATTTTTGTGTAAACTTATCCCATTGACCCCATGTTTGAAAAGAGCTAGTAATAAAATAAATTCTATATTTTTATAAACACTTAAGAAATGTCAGCCCAAAAACCAAAAAAAAACATCTGGTTGTACCTCCTATTACTCCAGCAAGGGTTGCCAATGTAAGCGCGTTTGATTTGAAAATCTGAAGACAATTTTTGCGAAAATTCGCTTTCATTTTTTCACAGCTGCGTTGCAACTGAACCGGTCTCAAAACTGTTCAAATTTCTAGATGTCTGAAACAAAAAAAAATATCAGCTGTTTCTTTAACAAGTGTTATAAAATGCAATTATCAAAAGAGTAAAACAACTAATTACAAGGCAATGTTTGCATAGTATAATACATAGGGAGCCTGAATAAACATTATAAAAATCACGTTCTTTTAGCCATTAAAAACAGAATTTGTTATACACAGCTTTTTGATCAACTTTTAAACTCACAAAAGAAATTATCTAATTTTGTACATTTTTCCAATATCTTAATAGCCACATAGATTTGAGAAACCTTTAAATGAAAACGTAAGAAGAAAGAACAAGGAGCAAAAGGAATTGACTGAGTCTTGTCTTATTTTCTTAGTTTTTACTTTCGACTTTTAGAATGGGTTTCTAAGATAGAAAATGTAAATATTGTGTACAATAGTACAGTTTCATAGTATACACTTTAACCCAAATACATTAACAGACTGAATAATAATAAATGAATCGTAATAAAAACATTACCTAAAATAGATTACATAATAAATTTGTTTGAATGCAACATTTTCAGACTAATCATTAATATGTTTTGCCGACGTGGAATCCATTTTGAGAATAATTTTGCGGATTTATGAGTTTTTTTTTCACGGATTCCGAGGATGAAAATAATAAATAAAGATTTCTAATATTTGTTATTATAGATATTTCAGCTTTATTATTCCAACATCCATATTGCAAAAATTGGCCTTATCCAAACTTATTTACATTTTTCTATTTTTAATCCACGCACATTTTTAATTAGGCCTATACAAATTCATGGTATTTTAAATGTTATAATCGGATTTTAAATCATTCACTTTCTAAACATGCATGTCAGTGTAACAATTGCTTCTAATATATATTTTTTCTTTTATCATACAGGGTTACCCACATAGGATGAGACTTCAGAGACGACTGTACGGACTTTATATTGTCTGTTTCCTTATGTTTATGGTTTCCCGCAACTTCAATCTAGTAAAGTTTTTTTTAAATCATTAAATATACCATAAAATGACTATAGTCAGGACAGAAGACTTAATTCAACCTTGGAATAGTCATATCTAAAGACCTTCAGATCGTCTTTACAGTATAATTCTTTGTGTGTAACCCTGTACATTCATTTGAAAAACGAAAGGGGGTATAGGCTTAATGCGATAAAAAAACGCTTTTGATCGCTACTAATCTTACTTCTATCTGTTTCGTCTATAAGGAGAAAATTGTTAAAGACGTCTGATACCGAATAACTTAGCGTCCATACAAATTGAGAAAATTGCAACATACGACTTAGACCGTAAAAAAATCAATTTGATTTTAAACAAATCATTCAAAGTACAACTTATAGTCATTGATTATCTTTCGCCACATTTGTAATTAGTTTATATTTTATAGTATTCTTTAATTAATTTGTTTTTTAGAAAACGTTTTTAACGGATTTCGAAAAATGTGAGTGGTGCGCGGCATTCTTAGAAAGTTGCGCAAGCGACAAGAGAAATAAAATCGCATTAAGCCTATACCCCCTTTCATTTTTCGCGAACACTTCCCTTAAGTTAGAAACAAATGGGTAGCCTACAAATACAAGAAATATGTGAGTTGTTAAGTTAAAACCAAAGGTCAAGGCGGTGCGACACTTTAAAGTCGAGGTTGACTAAAATAGGTTAGTTTCAGCAAGTTATCAAAACTATGAAATAAATATATATTAAATCCGAATGTTTGCAATACAATTAACATGTTTAAAAACTGTTTTTGCAAACTCATAAGTCTATGTAATCAAGATTTTATAAAGTCATGCTTTTATTTTACATATGCTGGGAGTGGGGGGGGGGGGGTTAAGTCAGCCCCCTAATGCAATCTTCTGAAACCATTAAAGTCACCATTTTTGGTAATATTTTTGCGTTTTCTGCATATTTTAATTGCGACCCGCTATAAACCCTCCCTAGGGTCATGTGAGTTCCCACAAAACATTTTGGCCCAATTGGTTCAGGCGTTTTGACGCTGATTGGATACAATCAAACAGACAGTTAGACAAGACAAAATTCTATTTAGATATTAATTATAATTAAAATATAAGTCATTCATTCTTTAAAAGGAAAGAAAAAATTCGTATCGAAGTCATCCATTCAAAATTTCTAGGCCGACTAGGATTAACAAATTGGGCCCCAGGCCTCTTGATAAAGCCAGTTGTCATGCCTCATTTTATACCAACAACAGCTGACAACAGCTGACAACAGCTGAAGTTACGTGATCGACAGCTGCCCGCCCTAAGACTCGACTTACCCGGAGTTAGGCCCAATTTGTCTCAAATAAAATGTTTAACTGGCTTAACAAAACCAAAACTCCGTGGAAGTTTTTTTGCAACTTAAACCCCAACGTTTAGTCTTGAGTCTTAGTTTCCCGATTTTATTAAATCATGGGCTGAGAACAGACAAAACATGTATAAGAGTAGATTTTTAAAAATGCTGGAAGTCGTAAGCTCAAATTTCTATTGTAAGTGCACACCATGCTGCAATAAATTCTAGAATACTTGATCAAGAATATCAAATATCTTCCTTGTTTTAATACATTTTTAAAACTTTTCAGAACCTATACGATTTAAAACCTTCAGCTCGAGTCTTTATTTCTTACACCCAGGTTTAAGACCCAACTTAGACATCAGCAGACGACAGCTTGTATCACATAATCGACATCTGCCAGCTCTTAGGCTCGACTTAAGGACGTAGGCCCCAAGTCTTAAATTAGTCTCAATGACAGCTTAGAACATAACATTTTTGACCAACAGGAGGTGCTAAAATGGCGCCTTGATGTCAGGTACCAAGATGAAACAGATTCCTAATTTTCGACACATTTAGTGAAGAAAGCCGGCGATTTAAAAAATTCAAGAAAATACGGCTCGGGTCTAAGCTGTTGTTGAGCCTTATTTACGGCTCGGGCTTTCGGATTTAAGTTGCATCTAATTTTCAACAGAGTTTAGTTCATATAACCGGAGCTGGGAACTTTAGAATGGATAAACTTTAATCCCAACTACTTAATCCGAATATCCACTGTGGAAACTTTTCATTTTTGTCCTAATCCACTCTTTTTCTCTCTCCTTGGATATCTGTTAATTGTTTTCTCCAATGAGAATATTTTTGTTCTCTCATTGGTTGCCCGCTTTTCTCTGATTGGCTGCTACAGTTTCTCAGATGATTAAATATTAATTTGAATTTTATCAGTTTTTTAGATAATCTTGCAAGATTATGTTAATCTTGAGATTATCAAAAAGAGAGGATCAAGCATTAATCCCGATATCCACCATTCTAAAGTTTTCAGCTCGGTTTAATTTTGTATTTGACGGATTTTCATAGTTGGAATTGGCGCATTCCGGGTTTTGATGAGAAGAAGACCCAACATTGAGCCTTATTCTCCACTAAAACCAACCAAGGTCGGTTTTATTTTCATAGAGCTTAACTCCTTAAGTCGAGCCTAAGATCTCGCAGCTGTCAATCACGTGACACAAGCTGTCGTCAGAGTTGGGTCTAAGATTGGGTCTTAAAGCTGCGTTTAAGGAATTAAGACTCGAGCTGAAGCTTTTAAATCGCGGGCTCAGAGCCGGCGATTTAAAAAATTCAAGAAAATACGACTCGGGTCTAAGCTGTTGTTGAGCCTTATTTACGGCTCGGGCTTTCGAATTTAAGTTGCATCTATTTTTCAACAGAATTTAGTTCATAAAACCGGTTTAATGTTGTATTTGGCGGATTTTCATAGTTGGAATTGGTGCATTCCGGGTTTTGATGAGAATAAGACCCAACATTGAGCCTTATTCTTCACTAAAACCAACCAAGGTCGGTTTTATTTTCATTGGGCCTAACTCCTTAAGTCGAGTCTAAGATCTCGCAGCTGTCAATCACGTGACACAAGCTGTCGTCAGAGTTGGGTCTAAGATTGGGTCTTAAAGTCGGGTTTAAGGAATTAAGACTCGAGCCGAGGCTTTTAAATCGCGGGCTCTGGTTAAATATTACTTGTAATGAAATAAAAATTAATTGTTTTGATTATTTTTAGTAATTCAAGTTATTCATAGTAATAAAATAATTAAAATTTTTGGATAAATATTTTGAATTTTGTTAGTGTACCCAGATTTATATTTTTGAAAAATATGCACTAAAGTTCTTAATTTACAGTGTCTAACTCAGCGTTTTCATTCCTGAAATCTGGTAACTATGGAGATTAAGAGGGATTCTCAATTTTTTAAAATTTATCTTCTTCGCAAAAAAGAGGTAATTTCAAGTCTCAACTGCAACAAACAAGCAGATTAAATATCTTAATAATTTTAAATTATCACATATTTTATTTTGCACGCCATAATGTCTTCCATTGGCAATACAACTGCAATCGAAACCAACCTAAAGATTGTTAAAAAAAACTAAAAATGCAATTTTTCAAGGTTTTCATTTTATGTTTTCTCCTACATGATCTTATCACTGTTTAACACTATACGGGCTTACAGGAGAACACTTCTGTGCCTCATCATCCCAATCCTGAACTACTACTTGGTGGAGGACTACAACACAATGGTTCTAATTCTGATAAATATAGTATAAAGTAGAACTGTACAGATATAGTGTGGATGTGTTGGCAAAATTCGCCAATGTTAGCAATTAAGCTCAATTAAACTCCAATAATTCTGAACTTTATGATTTTTTGGGTCAAATGAAAAATTAAGTGGAAACACTGATGAATTATCAAAATGTTCAAAATTTAATGCTTTCATCCTCCTCGGATACTAAAGAAACACTGATGCATCTATTCCTATTAACAAACACCGCCCTGAGAGAACTGGTTTCAATATGTACGCAGAGAATACGCAACAGCAATTAGCTTTCCTTGCCTTATTACCTTGTATGTGCGCATGACTAAAGTTTTTACTCGTAATATCGGATTAAACTAAGCATTACAGATTATTGATCCAAAAAGCTAATGAAATAAAAAAGAATATATATAATCTTAAAGATTATCTAAATATATACATATATATATATATATATAAATATCTAAGTTACCGAATGCATAATGAAAGACTGGAACAATAGACTAGGTTAAAGTGAAGTGAGAGTAAAGGGTGCTCAAAATTCAGTATGAATATTTAATTTTTTAAATTCAAAAAAAAATTAAAATAAAAATATTTGGCAGACAAATTTTNTGTATGTCCGATTATAACTCACGAGCCCCTGAACTGACTTGCCTAAAATATTTTGATTGTGGAACTCGGTGAACCCATGGGAATGTTATAAATCTGGTCAAAGTAGAGAGGGTTGACTTATAGGTAAAGTCCGGGCAAAGCTGGGTGCTCAAGCTATAGTGTTTTATATTCTTGCACTTTGTACCATACGATCTTTATATTGTCATAAAAAATTTAATATTTTATGTGCTTGTGCCATATGCTATTATTAAAGTGTTCACTGTACGGTGTACAGTGTACACCATATACCGTACACTGTACATTGTACACCGTGCACGCAGTACACTAAACAGTAGGGTGTTCAGTGAACACCCTACACGGAAAACAGTTTGCTGTACACGGTACAAGGTACTTTGTACACCTTATAATACCAACTTA